CGATATGCTGACTCTGTAAACCGCTTAGAGAGGGCTGAAAGCCCTATGAAGCGGTATATAAGTCTAACTGCTATTGCTATTGCTATTAAATTATTATAATATTGGCAGTGATACTTTCAATTTATTTCCTAATAGACCCCAAAATAGAAATTTACTTTTTCCTTAATAGTTGCCTGTTAGATATTTGTAAATGAAATATCCACTGTAACCCCAATATTCCTTTTCTATTCTGCCACTTTGTCACAACATCGATATCACATAGTCACCTATAGATACATGCATTTATCTTTTAGTGGATAGAAGCTGAGAGGAGGAGAGATAAGCTATATTTTCACATTTAGTCATCTTCCCATAGGAAAACTGTTACTGGCAGCGGGGAGGAGACAGCTGGAAATTTAAAGACAAACTTTTGGAAGGGTAGTGATGGCAGTGGAGAGTGAAATGCCAAACCTAAACAGATTTTAGGTAATGTTGGCTGTTCACGTCTTATTGGTTCCAAAATCTAGGAAAAAACATTTGTATTTTGGATAAAGTTCCAAAAAACCATTGAAGAAAGAAAGAAGAATCAATGACCCACAGATCTTCCCAATGTTAGATGGCTTCTGTGGAGGCAGAAGAAAGTTAGAATGCCTGCCATCCAACAAAATTAACTCCTCAATTTTAAGTAGGAAGTCGGAATACAGAAATAGCATTGTGCATATTGAGTGAACATGTGGTCTGCACACATGTCCATCCAGAGATGGTTAACTTTAATATGCATGGCCAGAGGCAATACAAATCAAGCTGTTGTTTTACAGCCTTGCCAGAATTTTGCTATGGTTTATCAGAAACGAAGAGATAGATGCATGAAAGTTGGGGAATGTGATCAATCATGCAGTAATGAAATAGCTGCCTGAAATGCTTTGTATGCATAAAATCAAAACTAAAAACTTGCTTTGCTTTGCTAATACAAGGGCATACCTTCTTAGATTTTATATTCTTAGAAATGTGTCAGGTTTACAATTGCAATCCAAATTACGCTGCCCAGTGGCTTTATACGCAGATCGGGATTAATTTGGAGTTCAATTAATACCAGATCATTTGTTGTTTTCTACAGATGTATCATTTATCTGTTCAGGAATTACATTTTTAAAGTGGGTCTTTATCAGAAATCAGAGCAAAGATCAACTCACCTGCTACAGCTTTCATTCTTCGGAAGCTGATAACAAGGCTTCCATTGATTTTGGTACAATATTGAGAAAACAGTAGAAATATATCTTACTTATGTTTGCGACATGATTTGGATATGGAATGACAACTAAGCTCTTTGTAATAAGCCATAAGAGGATTATAAACATCTGTGGAAATATGATAAAGTCATAATACTCCATTTGTAACAAAAAAGAGAAACCTATGGGAAACTGGTATTTGCTTCTGCAGCTTTTACCTATATCCTTATCTCAAATACTGTATTATGTCCAGCACATCTTACCAAACTACCAATCTTTTAAAAATTGCATCAGATGAATATGTTATATGATTATTTTTGGAGTTTTTTTTGCCTGAAGAAACCTATTATAAATTATCACAAAGGCTAATGAAAATAAGAAACAAGAAAAGTGTCGCATCACAAAACCTAGGATTCTAGCTACGATCCAATTAACGTTGAGAGATGGTGTTTCCGAAAGCATTTCCATTGAATGCTTAACCTTTGCATTTTCTTTAGTAGAGAAATGTTTTGAAAGGATTTTCTTTTGACCCAATCAAAAACCTTTATTATTAGACACAACAGTCTTGACAGTTCAAGTGAAAGCTTTCTGTTTCCAGAGCTTTCTCAGGTCTAGACATTTGTTTATTTGTGATAGAAGCATCACAATTAAAATAAGGCGTACTACATGACACGGGTGTCAAACTTGCTGTGTCACGTGACATTTTATAACATTTTTTCCCTCTTCCTGGAGTTGGGGTGGGCTGAGTGTGACGCATCCAGCTCCGGGCCGCCACTTCGTCACTCCTGCTCTATCATATAAAATTTAAAGCATAAAATACAAGATTAAAATGTGTAGAAATCTAAATAGTGATAAATAAACTAAAGCAGGAGGAATGACAATAAAACCTTATTTAGAGAGCAACAACAAACACAACTGATTGCAGAAAAGGCAGCAACTCCAGAATTGTGAAGTAATTGCAAAAGCTTCCTCACTTGGTCCTTGAACAAGTGCCACAATTCTTTGCTATTCAATCACAGTTGCCTGATTTTATACATGAGTCTGAAAAAAACCCAATACTACTTCTTTAAGAGTTCAATTCACAAGGAGCTTCTTAAAGCAGTTGCATTTGTTCTTCAGTCTGGAAAGAAGGAAGCTGTTGCAGAAAGCTGAAAAGATTAGGAACTGCCCACAGGAAGAAATTCTTGAATTGGTGCGTTTGTATTGCAAATGCCCTGTCTTAAGTCACTACTGCAGCTGTTTCTTGGCAAATGAGGAATCTTAATAAGGCCATGGCCAAAAGGATGCTGGTTACAGGCAAACATCTAAGGGAGAAGTTGTTTTGTGAGATATCCAAGAGTTCACAATTCTTGTGATGATATATGTTACGCAATGATTCCCTAAAGTGAGTTAATGTACTTTGTATCTATCCATATCAGTGGTGGTATTCTGCTAGTTCTTACCGGTTCGGGCGAACTGGTAGTGGTGGCTGCTGGAGGCCGTGGCACGACAAAACAGCGCTCGACTAAAGCGCACCCGATTAAACCGCGTCGCTGACCTCATCAACAGGGCGACAACAGCGAGCGCGGAGGAAGAAGGGCGCTTTAAATAGCGCTTTGAAAGCAAGCCGATTCAAGTTAAGGTAAGGGTTAGGTTTAGGGTTAGCTTTAGGGTTAGGTTTAGGGTTAGCGAGAGGTTAAGGGTTAGGTTTAGGGTTAGGTTAAGGGTTAGAATTAGGTTAA